GATGGACGGTCACATACTAGTCCGAGTAGTCATAGCAAAGTTGATAGTGTTAGTGTAAGTGGCAGCAGTGGCTGTTCTGGATTTTATATTCTTGTAGTTCACTCCGGCTCCAACAGGTGCAGGTTCATACGCGTCCCGCCCAGTCAGGGACCAAAAACACAATAATTCTGGGAGAAAACGGTTCTATTTTAATGAATAAGGGAAATACAGACAATTACCAAATTGATATTATACCTTCGAGCTTCCAATCACCACAATAGGTTCCGTTACTGGAAGAATAAGTGCTTCCAGTCAGTTACTGCTAGAGTATCAAATCCAAAAATGGCTGTAGCCATATTAAATATCTAATTTAAACAACATATGTACAGTTCAGAAGCAAACATAAAAACTTCAATATAAGCACAAGATATGGAAATAATAACAATATACAATGATAAAATCCCAAAATGGAATCAAATAGAGTACCAAAATGTCAACAGAAAGAGTCAGTCATATCATAGTACAAATATATGTACATGGAGGGATTTTCCAAAAATCAAAACCTCCAAAATAGATTCTACATTGGTAGCTTAGCTTTGAAGCCTGCATGTCAACTATCTTGCAACTCGTCATTAACTGTGGAGAGTCGGAACATCAATGTGGACAACAATAACGCTAAGGTGGAGGTGAAACCTCATGTGTCTATTAATAGTGTGGTTGATGTGAATAATAAACGTGATGGTAACGATAGTGGAATCACTATAGGTAGTGCTGTTTCTTCGGTTGCTGTTACTGATGTAGCTTCTTTGAGTACTTCAGATCAAGACGAAATTGGATGTTTGCGCGAGGAGAATGTAGGCGTCGGTGGCAATAGCGTTAGCCACAGTGATGGCACTACTGAGAGGGCTAACATTCGGTACCCTAGGTGCAATGAGGAGTCATCTAAGCTTAATGGACATGCTGTTGTGTTGAATATGCAGCATGAGGAATCGAGCATGGAATTTTCCACCTGTCGCACTCCACCATCTTTGACTTGTACTACAAGTATCGGGATGAGCACTACCAACAGTGATAATATAGAAGAGGTTAAGAACATTCCCAGTAAGGAAAGTAATCTTGATCGAATAGAGTTTGACTCTGTACATGAGTCGACTGGATGTCATGAGAAGTGTACTGCTGCTTGTATAGCTGCGGCTACTAATGATAATAGCATTGATGAATCTCCTGTAAGTTATAGTGATCGATGGATGTTGAAAGACACTCATCGTCGTCGAAATGATTGTACGTTACGCTCACATACTGCTACCCAAGCTAAGAAGCATACGAAACGACATGATGCTACTATTATTAAGAAGCCTAAACTTCGTTCTCTTTCGGATGCTGTGACTAGCAATGGAGATAGTAGTCATCAGAATCGTAGCAGTGACAGCGATAGTAAAGAGACAGGAAGGGTGAGCTGTCGACCTATAGTGATTAGTCGATCTACTTCATCGAATGATCCTTCTAGTGTTTTGACGTCATCGAACCCTGCCGCAAATGTAAAGGTGATTGAAGATACACAAGGTTGTGCAGCTATAAGTGTTCCTGCTCCGGTTGACTGTCAGTTGAGTATTGATGAGAAGGAAGCGTCTGATGGTAACAGCCAGTCTACAGTGTTGCATGATAACGATGCTATTGATGTGCACATGTATTGTGTCTCTGAAACGGAACATGAAGAACAACAAGTGAGTTTATCGGCTGTGGATTGTGACACTAATGCTGTTCTTTCATGTAGCGAGATGAGTTATAGAACAATGGGAGAGTTTCACTCTACGGATTCTAGTGTAGCCATGAACAACGTAACTTGTCTGACAGAACGGAATCATGATGACGATGATAATTATCTGGATGTCACTGATGTGACAAATGAGTTGTTTACCATGACGAATGCTGATCAAACCTCCTCTGTACCAGGAGATGGGGAGTTAAATATTGTTCCTGAGTTATGCCACTTAGAGTCTTCAGGAGACGAGGAACTATCAAAATTGGAGATCCCACCCTTGGCTCAAGAACTTTTGTTGATAAGTCGGCATCACTGACTTCATCGTATCTGCCGTTCGGAGCAAGTGGTGGTGGATTGACGACTCATCCCCATGATGTGGAGGGTAAATCCCGAATAGGATATGACCAGCTTTACGACGTGTTATACATGTTCTTGTGGGATAATTGGATAAGGTTTATACTACCGTTAGGTCATGCTACGATAGATAGGGGAATCAAGAACCTGATGGGAAGGTACAGGTACATAGTTAGCTTGATAGGTCATATCCATGTTGGAGGGCGGGTAGGCGTACTGCTGTAAGTCCTACTCGTTCTTCCGGTGTGGATTAGGGGATGAGAGTGAACCCTAAATTGAAGTGTCGGAAAGGGCTTGTTTTGAATGGAGGGACTTTGCGGGCCGGTGTAGAATCTATTTTGAAGGTTTTGATTTTTGGAAAATCCCTCCATGTACATATATTTGTACTATGATATGACTGACTCTTTCTGTTGACATTTTGGTACTCTATTTGATTCCATTTTGGGATTTTATCATTGTATATTGTTATTATTTCCATATCTTGTGCTTATATTGAAGTTTTTATGTTTGCTTCTGAACTGTACATATGTTGTTTAAATTAGATATTTAATATGGCTACAGCCATTTTTGGATTTGATACTCTAGCAGTAACTGACTGGAAGCACTTATTCTTCCAGTAACGGAACCTATTGTGGTGATTGGAAGCTCGAAGGTATAATATCAATTTGGTAATTGTCTGTATTTCCCTTATTCATTAAAATAGAACCGTTTTCTCCCAGAATTATTGTGTTTTTGGTCCCTGACTGGGCGGGACGCGTATGAACCTACAACTTTCAGTTTCGGAGCGAACTGGAAGAGTATTATAATCCCTTTATAAAGGGTATGCCTAAAACTTTGCAAATGTAGGACTAAGATATAACAAATACGTATTTCGCTTTGAGGGACAAAAAATTTACAAGCAATCATAATGTAATAACCCAAATTTGCTTGTTGTGATTATTCTTATTGGTAGTAGTAGTAGTATTACCCATCAACGTCAGGCACTAAAACAACTATATTTCCATGGTGCATTAACAAACTTCAAAGAAAGTCATTAAGATCTTATCTGCGCTTGTGCATTTGAAATAGGCTGTAAACTGTCATGCCTCTTATAACCCGCTGTTATTTGAGAATAGATCTTTTATCATCGTCAGGAACGTGAGTAGCCTGTTGTTTATGGAAGCCACTCGAATGCATAGGTTCGAACATTAGTCATATTTTGTGAACAAACGCATTGATTAGGTTTTTTCATGTCTAGGTAACCTAGAGGCAGAGAATATCATGAGGAAAGAGATGCCCCACCACTTACTCGGAGTATCGTCCTCTTGAGTACAGTATACTCTATCATTTTGATCGATCGTCAGATATAATTGAAACTGAGTGAACAAACACACTTTAAGGTGGACAACAACTTGATTTTTAATTAGTTTTGGTAAATATGATTCCATATTATGATATACATAGTATCATCATGCTAACCACGTGAGTATTCTACAAGAGTCCAACTCATTAGCCGGATAGAGTATGGGAAACTGCAAAATGTCAGGTCTTCGGGTAGTCCGCTATCGTTATTTCACCAGATAATTATGTTTGATTTTCCTGCTTTCCACCTAGCTAGCTCCGATTCCCATTTTAACGCCATATCTGACAAGTTTGACGATTTGTGGTTAGAAGGTGAATGACACAGGACGCCTATGGAGAAGTGAGTAACATTCACAGATCATTTCTCAAAAGTTAGTCAGCGAATTTGTGGTGCTTGTATATGACATTGATTTCTTTTGTACACTATCTTTTCCCTGATTCGTATTCCGTGTACAATATGTTCTATTGTACTCATGTTTTCCTCTCTGACTTCAATATTCGTTCATCAATGACTAACAGATTAGTTAAGAAAATACAAGTACTTCAGAATATCATAGGTTATTACTAATGTATTAACATGAAAAACCAAAGGAGCTACAGTAGTTCTCCATTAGACTGAATAATTTACTAAGGACACTGAAAAGTTGTGCTGTCGTTTTATAAATTATTGAACCAATATCCTCATGGAAGTCAATTCTAGGAGGAGACTGATGTAACAGATTCAGTTGGTTAAGAGCGTCTTACTAAAATTAAACTATTGGAGCTAAGCTATTTATAGACTATTTTACTCATTATAGACACTATATATCTTCTTATCTCATAGTGCACGCTGTAAGGTTTGTATTACCAAAACTAAGGCCTTGTTAACGCATTGATTTTTCTGGCTCTACATAAAGATGGGTAAAAACAGAGCCTGCATCTCGTGGGGAAGAAAATCGACAAATCAAAGGTTACATTATTCTGAAAATAAATCTATTCACCGAAAGTATGAATAACACTCGGCAACAATTGCCGGTCACTCCAATGCAGCGTTGTAGATAATTATCCCCAACAAGATCCTACAGAAAACCATAAATACCATCCGAAATTTGAAGCAGTTTAATACCTGAACTAAGACAAACCATTTTCATAATTTAGTTAGAACATCATCTTCAACAACTTGCTTAACACCACCCAACGTCAAAACAGAAACAGCTCCCTGAAAGCGAGCAGGCCAGTCGAAGGCACTCGAGCTTTGAATCGCACAGTGTCTTTCGCAACAAATTTCAAGTCCAGATGTCCAATAGAAGTGGTATTATTCTGGAAGTTTTGTCTTCGGTTCACTCTCTCAGACCACTTAGAGATGAAAATAGATACGTTTTTTAAAAGGTCAAATATGAATAGCAAGGATCCAACAGTTTTCTGCTTCGGTAGACAAAAGTTCAAGAGTTTGTATTTATATAAAGTGGAATATAATCGTCCCAACAATCAATAATTACTCAAAATCTCCGGAGTATTTTTGACTTTCATATAGAAGACTTTACACATACGAAATCAATTGTTGTGCTCGTTTTAATATATTTTATTTTTAGCGCCAGTTTAGACTACGTCTTTTTGGCGCTAATGTCTTCTGCATTACGTAGACTGGATAAGGTTAGTCTTTAATTTATTGTTTAATTTTGTTACTAGTTAGGCTCCGTACTTTTTAGTTATTTGTGTTTTCAACGTACCTGCTCCTGCGCACTCAACAACTCTCATATTCTGTTCGCATCATGATTAGTTAGTCACTTGAAGACCAAACACACCACATGCATTCACTTTTAATGAGTTAAATTCAAATCCGAATTTATTAAAAAATGCTTATGTCATTCTTCTTCACTGATAGGGTGGAAAATGTTGCTATGTAGAGTAGAGACGGTATTTCTTATTAAACTGAAGTTGTCTAGTTGGTGAATCACCATAGTGGAAAATAGGTGTTACAATATGTATTTGTCACTGATTTTGCACTAATTTTCAAAATCTGTATATGAGTATTGAGAAATAACAAGCTAACTTGGAATGGGTATTTTCTATCCTTTATTTTAAGATTAAGGAACATTCAACATCTAGTTTTTTTTCAGAATAGCGCATAGATAGAGATGTGCTAACCCATGGTCTTTAACAGAATAAGTAGTCATTGTAGCTACGTCACCGGAATAGTCTCTGAGTTGCACCACATAATCCTCATATTCCCTATTAGCAATTATCGCCCGAAATACTGTCTGGCAATCTGAGTTAACAAACCCTGGTAGTATCCTAGTCCACGCAAATTTAGGAATTGATGTGATGCATGTATTTTTGCCGCTCCGTTGTGCCAGGTCGTAGGTTGTTAAGAAAGCCAACTGACCAACCAACCAACTCTACTTGGCAACCTATAGTTTGTTGATGTCGCACACTGACCTAGGTATCCTTAACTTTCTTACAACTAAGTTCAGTCACCGCTCGGTTACCAAATAACATTAAATTAAAGTAATAACTCGTACTACCATCTTACCAGGTTTTGAATCTCCAGTAGTTTAATGAACTAGGTTGCCAGTTTGCTAATCTAAACTCAAAATACGTGATATTTTTTCAAGATTAGGTTCTCGAAGATAGTCTGCCGTCCTTATACAAGAGTTATTAACATGAGAATACATGTGGTTCTTCCATTTTTCCTTCAAATCCTATTTGTTTAAATTCCAGGAATATACAGCTCTCGTCAACTCAAACATTAAGAATGTGCTTAGAGATTTGACACGCAATGAACTAAATTTCCTAACGTGGACTGGAAAAATAGTCTTGGTAAGCATAACTTTTGACTCACGCACTAACATAATTTAAAGTAAATTGAACATTAGGCATATTGTCTTTAACAACTTTGTAGTAAATTTGTTTTATCACAATGATCAAGAAAGAGTTGAGAAACTTTTTTGTAAGATAATTTCATTAAAATTTACAATGTACGTAGATGCTGTTCAAAGTGACTCATAAAATACGTTGATGCTATTTGCTTATTTCATAAAGAATTTTCTGATTTATTGTGCTAAACGCGTTCAGTTGTCATTTATTATCTTAACCTGTTTAACTCTATATTCCCAGATTTTACGTACTTAGGTAATGAGAGCATTTATAGTGTAATGTTTACATCTACCAACCATTTATTCAACATATAATTTGCCACATTTCGTGCCAAGAAAGTATACAGTATTAACTGATTCCATTCTCTTAAGATAGCAGACTGATCTGAAGAATTTTACTGTAACATTGTTTGATTGTTTTAACTGGATATACATGTACCACTGTTAGAACGATATTTATGTATCATTAGACATATCTTTAGTGCTACTGACAATTATCTTATTTACACTAATCGTTCGTACTACAAATTTTGTACATTAGTATATTCATATTTATAAATTTGGTCATACCGATGACTTTTACGTAGAATTATGACCGAGCTAATCAGTACTCACTGCAGCTTCTACCTTGACTTGGTGGTCCAGTTTGTCTATCATGATGACCCAACCGAGTTTTATTGGCTGGATTATATGTTCCTGTAGATTCTACCATACCAGGCAGATCGATTGGAGAACGGTAAGACTAAAAGCAGCTTCTGCAGCTATTCTGTCTTTTCACAAGAAAGAAAGGGTTTAGAAAAGGTTGATCCTAAAAATGTCACACTTCACCTTACTCTACGGGTTTTCGTCTCTGACAGAAAGGCCACTTGAAGAGCGGAGCCAACACCTTAGAAACCTCCTACAAAAGATCATGCGTGAACAGTCTTGAGCAGTCGTCCCTTGGGCTCTGCGGTCACGCTCCCAGGCCTTTAAGACCAACACTAATCTAACTTCCTATTCAGGTTCCTCAAGAAATATCCTTCCATGGTGTGGGCAGCCGGAAAGTAACATTCACCCTCATACCTATAATAGCGCACGTGGTCAACTAGTTCACAAGTAGATATTAAAATTAGTATAGCAGTTTTAATAAGGACATTTCGAAAAGAAATTTATGTAAAATTACAACCAGCCTATATGTTTTACCCAAGCATTTCGTGGAAGCTTCACAGATTCCTCACTTTTATCCAACTTAGAGTGTGAACTAGTGTCTCTGGAGTGAATCATAGTTAGGTAAAGTAAGCACACTGCAAAGTACATTTAACCAGGTAATACATTTTTACAAACGATTCCATTCTTTTCTTCATATTGTGATTTAGGATGAACCTCCCTATAATAAGGGTGCTTTCGAAATCGAAATCACATTTCCTGTTGATTATCCTTTCAAACCTCCAAAGGTGAAATTTAATACGCGCATATATCATCCAAATATTGATGAGCAAGGTCAAATATGTTTACCAATAATTAACCCGGAAAACTGGAAACCTGCTACTAAAGTAGAACATGGTAAGTGTTCATAATTGTATCTAAAGGTTCAAAACGTATTCAGTTTTGTGTAAAAGTGGTAAAGTGATTTTATGCACAATAATTAATTGCATTTGCTATAACCAGTCAGTCAGTTACAACTTAGAGCTTTGTACGTACGTATATAAGTTCAGGTCGCCATACAATATTAGCGCAGAGACCCAATTGTCAGTCCAAATCCCACAATATTAGAACTAGTGGAAGTATTAGCCGTAATAGAGAAAATTAGGGTTTGCAGATATAATTCAAGAAGTATAATTTAGTGAAATAAATTTAAAAAGAAAAAGATATAGGTGGTGAGAAATTCAGAAGATTAGAACATGAGAGAACACAAAGTATGGAAGTATCTGCGCCAATCCAAACGATTTGAACCATGTCATTTATGGTCTCTAACCATCGTTTACCATCATCTCGCGGACCTCAACAAGGTAGTCTACATTTACCAACATGACTCAGTCCACTTGTCAGTGACTTCATGGATTTGTGCCATGTTTTGGTCTGGCTGCCACTAGCTTTCTTCCATCCTATTCCTACATCATAAAACATCGCTCGTCGAGGCAGTCGGTGGTTTGGCATTCGTAACACATATCCCAACCACCTCAACTGATGAAGTTTCAATACTTTATTTATTGATTTTTCAGCCCTACCTATTACTCGTTTTCTAATGATAGAATTGCTTACTCGGTGATCCCAGGATATACGAGCAATGCTTCTACGACATCTATAACTGAATGCTAATAACCTACGAATATCTTCGACTCTTACTGCATTTTCTATAAATAAACTTAATTTCTCCTGATGGCTCAGATATTTTCCATATGTTTGGGCCGTGTAAAATGCATAACTATTCCATTTTCGACTTGTAACACGGCTATTACCTAAATACACTTTTAAGTAATCTTCATACTGACATAAGGATCGTTTATATATTGTTTTCCTGACGCTGCCCATGATATTTGATTGGTCAATCTACTTTTGAGTAAAGTGCATTCCCATGTTTTGTACAATCACTATTCTAAGGCTCATCCACAGACCCCGACCGTAGCTGCTACCTTGACGTGGTGATCGGGCTTGCCTACCGTGGTGACCCAACCGAGCTATATTCGCTGGAACATATGTTCCTGCAGGTCCTACCATGCCAGGCAGGTCGATTGAAGAACGATGAGACTGAAAGCAGCTACCCAAGTTTTGAGGACGAAGTCGTACTGCTGACTGCAGAGGGGTGTGACAACAGTAAGGTGTTTCCCTCGGAAAACCAACATCTGCAGCGATGCTGCCTTCTCACAAGGAACAAGGAAGGAGGAGTAGTTAGAAGAGGTCGAGCCTAAAAATGTCACACCTCACCCTACCTCACGGATTTCCGTCCGCGTCGATAAGGGTGCCCACTAATGGATTTTAAGAGCGGAGCTAATACTCAAAAAACCTCTCATAAAAAGGCCGTGTGTAACTGGCCTGAAGCAGTTGTCCCTTAGTGTGTGTGGTCACGCTCCCAGGTCTCTAAGACCGACTCTAATCTACCTTCTTTTTCAGGTCCCTCAAGAATCAACCTACCACGGTGTGGGCAGCTGGGAAGTGACAACCGCCCTCATACCCGTAACAGCACACGAGACTAAATCGGTCAGAATCATATCCTTCCTAAACCCCCTAATACCTCTCTTATCTCCATGACTAAATCTCACATTCCTTTATCACACTGCACAGCTAATACAAACGATGCAAGTTCACGAAACGTCATTTCTGGTCTCCTGATACCCCGCTCTAGACTACATGTTGGAGCATTTAATGTACGAACATTGTGTGAAATAGGTCAACTGGCTTCGTTAGCTAGGACTTTAGAATCTCGCGCCATCGATGTATGCTGCATCTCGGAAACGCGCATACAGAATCCGAGTAGCATCATTCACTTCACCTCACCATTTCAAAATAAAGAAGCAAACCGACTTACCCTTCGTGTATCTGGAAGTCCTGACGCTGCTTCGCGAGGCCTCGCCGGTGTATGTGTAGCATTGAGTCCTAGAGCAGAACTGGCTCTCTTAGACAGGATCCCAGTAGATAGTCAGTTGTGCGCTATCCGACTAAACAGGACAGTAAGGACTCAGAAGGATAGGAAGAATCGCCATTGCCTCTTCGTCGTATCTGCCTACGCACCCACTGACTGCAGTTCAGATGAGGTAAGAGATGATTTCTACAGAAAGCTCTTGGAACTTCTCCAAAATATTAGACACTGATATATTAATAGTGGCTGGTGAATTTAGTGCTCAAGTAGGTGGACTAAATGAAAAGGAAAGAGACATGGGTGGATCTTATGGTGTCGCGGCTGATCGAACAGATAATGGCGACTGTCTGCTGCAGCTATGCTCAGATAACCGCCTATTTCTAGCAGACACTAACTTTAGGCATAAGGAAAAGCATCTCTTGACATGGTGACCCCCAAATTCGTCTCAACGCTGGACCCAACTAGATCACATCAGTCAGTCAGTCAGTTGCAACGTAGAACTTCGTACGTATGTACATAAGTTCATGTTGCCATACCACATTATTAGCACAGAGACGCAAATGTCAAATCAAATCCCATAGTGATAAAGATGGTAGAGGTAACTAGATCACATCGCTATTAGCCATCGATGGAGAGACTCTGTTGAAGACTGCCGCTCATTCCGGAGCAAATGTTTAGATTCAGATCATGCTCTAGTGCGAGCGCGTATTTGTTTGCGACTTACTAGACGTAGGAAATACGCCGCAAGGAAACCTGTTAGGGTTCTACCTAATGACAACAGGGCTATGAATATATTTCAGGAGCAACTAGAAAGACTGTTAGGCGACCTTGCAAGTGGTTCTTGTCCGGAGGTAGCTTCGAATGTCCTCCTAGTCTTTATGAAGTTGAGAAACCTATGGGAAATCTAAAGCGTGCTAGAGCAGCAGGTCCTGATAGGCTAACTCCTGAGATTTTCAAGGATGGTGGTCCAGTTTTAGCAGCTAAATTGACTGGGATCTTAAATAGAATCTAGGAACTGACGTAATCCCATCTGAGTGGTCTCAATCCCTGATTGTCCCAATTTATAAGAAAGGACAAAAGTCTTGTTACAGTCACGGGGGAATAAGTCTCACTATGGTTTCTAAATTGTTAGCCTCGATAATCCTTAGACGCCTAATTAAAGCTGGTGAAGAGCAGACTCGAGAAAACCAGGCTGGTTTCAGACCCGGACCTGGCTGTATAGACCACATCTTCACACTACGACAGGTCTTGGAACGCAGACACACGTTTAGGCGTCTGATAATAGTTTTCTTCATTCATTTTTGTTTAACTTTGTCCTAGACATCCTCTTAGAGTTAACATTATCCTCGTCAGATTTTTCAGGGGTTGACCTACCAGGAAAATCGCTTACTGACCTAGAATATGCCGATGACATAGTTCTATTCGGTGAAGAGGCTGACAAAATGTAGAGTCCTCTGACTACCATAAGCAACAATGCAAGCATGTTCGGGATGCGGTTTTCCCCCTCGAAATGCAAAATGTCGCTCCAAGATTGGGCTGCATCGGCACCTGAACTAGTGATAGGGAGTGAAGTAGTTGGGCGTGTCGACCGCTTTACTTATCTGGGGAGTCTCATCAGTGGTGGTGGCCTGGTGACTAACAAAATCTCTGCGCGGATACAGAAAGCTCGATTGGCTTTTGCCAATATATGTCATTTATGGTGCAGGCGAGATATCCATTCGCCAACCAAAGGACGGGTGTACTGTGCGGCAGTTCGCTCTGTTCTCCTATATGGATCCGAAACATGGCCGGTAAGTGTAGAAGATATTCGTAGGTTACTAGTATTCGATCATAGATGTCTCCGAAGCATTGCTCGTGTATCGTGGGATCACCGAGCAAGCAATGCTGTCGTTAGGAGACGAGTACTAGGTAAGGATGGCAGATCAATCGATGAAGTGGTGAAACTTCATCAGTTGAGGTGGTTGGGATATGTGTTACGAATGCCAAACCACCGACTGCCTCGACGAGCGATGTTTTATGATGTAGGAATAGGATGGAAGAAAGCTAGTGGCAGCCAGACCAAAACATGGCACAAATCCATGAAGTCACTGACAAGTGGACTGAGTCATGTTGGTAAATGTAGACTACCTTGTTGAGGTCCGCGAGATGATGGTAAACGATGGTTAGAGACCATAAATGACATGGTTCAAATCGTTTGGAGTGGCGCAGGTGCATTCATTCTTCGTGTTCTCTCAAATCCTAATCTTGTGGATCCGTCAACACATCTCTTTTTGTCTTTCTAAACCTATCTCACTGAATTATACTTCTTGAATAACATCTTCGGACCCTAATCTCCTATTACTTCTAATACTTTTACTACTGTGGGATATGAATTGACAAATATATCTCTGTGCTAATGTGGTATGTCAACTTGATTGCTGTACTTACGTACAAAGTTCTACGTTGTATCTGACTGACTGACATCCACAGACAAAATAACTTTTCTGTGCTTGAGCTGGTGTTTAGTTTTTTGGGTAAACATTTATTACGAACAAAACGAAAGTTTATCAATTTTTTCTGTGGGATTTCATAACAATCCACATAAAGCGTCTCATTTGATTCATAACGGCTGGTCATTGATTTAACGCTTAGATGCACTGACTGGCAATTCTGTATGTGATACACTTCAACTCTTTAAAAGCAACAGTTTCCCATGGTTATTTTAATTCTGTCCACTGACTGATCTGTTGCTCAGTGTTTTGTATATTCCATTTTAGACTGATGAGTCGAATTATTTAATATTTCGTCTAGCATTACAAAGTAAGTTATCATCATTGTTAGAACTCACTGATTACGAATCTTGTCACGGTCATGGAAAGTATAAGTTTACTGAGTAAGCTGACCGATATTTATTTAACTTTTCGTTCCAAACATTTCCACCTCAAGGTGTTGTTTCTAGCCTCTCTCTCTACACACGCAAAGTGTCTCTTAAACACACTAATATGTTCTTGATTTCCTAGTTGAGATTAATTACACCTAACATTTACGGTAATCAATGTCCTCGATATATGCATGATATGTTTCACATTTAAAGTGTTGCTTTCGAAAAGAGGTTTCAAAATTCATATTAAATTTTTGATCCTATCATTTTATTTTTCTAAATTACTCAAAAACATTTACTGAATGTTCACTTTATTTTCAGTTATTCAGGCACTTGTTGCAATGCTTCGTACACCGGAAGTTGAACATGCTCTTCGTTCGGAATTAGCTGAAGAATATGCTAAAGATCCAAAAAAGTTCTTTAAAAATGCCGAAGAGTTTACACGGAGATATGCTGCAAAAATTCCAAACTTGTAAATTTTGTAATAATCATTAATATGTTTGATTATCTCTTCCTTTACCAGTTCATTTTTTATTTTGTTTCTTATTCTCTGATTCAAAGTGAATTTTTTTTCTTCAACTTTCACTATTCCACATAGTTATGTTGTACACACAATCAGATACTCTGTATGCTAGTTGGTGCTTGTATTGCCTTGCTCCTTTTTGATGTTGTGAAAGCTCTTGGTTATATTTATCGGAAAGTGTATATGACCTATGAAAAAATAAAGATATGAAATACATCATTAGGTCTCAAAATCGTAGTATATCTCCTGATCTCTAATTCGAACAGCTAATAAGTATATTACTTATTTGTGTTAGCGGTTTAATTGGCGTATAAACCACTATTTAAAAAACTTCTCTTGATACTACTAATATTTCAACATCCTTTACTCTTTAAGCTTTTCTTATTATTTTGACCAGTATATTTTGTTTTGAAGTGCACAAAAATACATGCATATATCAATGACATTAATACATATTATAACTCTAACAAGTTTTATTATTGAATTCATGGATTAAGAGGGTTATTATACTGTCAGCATACAAATCGAAAATTAAAAATCGACGAAGTTAAATGCTACTTTTGTCCATGCTTTCTTTTCAGATCGCAACAAAGATCCGTTTAATCGACAGAATTTCATTAGCACTAAGAAGAGGACTTTAGATGCATGACATTAGTCGCTATTAAATGATCAATCAATCGTAAATCTTGATCCGAATAGCTCAGTATGTACGTCTCTGATTACGAAGCTGGAGGACACAGGATCGAATCCGTCAGGAAGCATAATTTCCCTTAAGATTACAGGCACAACTTGCTGACGAGTACCAAATAGCACGAAACCTAGGTCCAGGGTTTCTTATTGACTACTTGCAACCACCACCTTACATCTCAACACAACATCAAGTCACCCAGATTAATAGCTACATTGCTATTTGACCGATGAAATTCAACAAGCACATAGAAGGATTTGATAATAATGACATTGGTCACTACTCAATGATCAATCATTTGTGTATGTTTTCTCCAATCTGAACGTGGTGTCAAACAGAATCTCAACATATAGCTTGTCAAAGTGTTTATCGATCCAATTTATTGTAATCATTTTGCTTAATGAGAATAGAAATAAGAAGATAAGAGTAGTGATATTTATTTGGCTCCAGAAGGTGAATTAGCTCTGTATTTTATAATATATGTTGAAAGTAGTACTCAGTCCGAATTTCGCAAGGACTTTTTATCACAAGGTTCCAAATAGTATCATTTATCATGAAATTGTAAAAGTTCTTTAAAGTGAGCAGAATAAACAATCTAGTTTAGGTTGTTTTAAAGTTAACATGATTGTAAATCCCTACTTTAATATAAGATATAGAGTGGTATGCAAGATGATATTTGGTGAATCTGTGACGATTAACAGTACTGTTTGGATAATTTAACTAAACAGATGTGTAGAAGTTGTCTATTATTTTTAGGTTACTGAACAGTGATATGTCGCATGTGAAAATGAAACTTTAAATGTTGTAAAATTGGGTTTCGATGTACTGTTTTTTCCCTTACGTTTAGATCAATCAAGAACATAGCTATAATCGTCCGATAAAGGGCCTCTTTTCCAATCAAAGTGACGTGGTTTTTCACTAACTCAGACTATTTCAAAAAGAGATTAAGATGCTGTGTGTGTGAGTGTTGCTTTATTCGTGAAGGTAGCCAACGATCCCATCGTTTGATGTAAAAATAAACAAAAATATTCATCCTTTACCAGTTTCTGTTTTTATTTACTTCATGTTAGCAAAATCTGAATGTCTCCATTATATATATCGTAATATGTTTTTTCAAAATTCTGAACCCTCCATAGAATTCCCTCTAATAGCTTTACAACCAGAATGAGAAGTAATGACCTTTAGTTCACAGAATAGTTAGTTCATTTATACCGCATACTTTGCATGAACTAACAAACTAACTACCCTGTTGTTACGAAACGGGTGCTGGGTAAGGATGGCAGATCAATAGACGAAGTATTCAACAGTTGAATGTGTTGCGAATGCCGAACCACCGACTGCCTCGACGGGCGATGTTTTGTGATGTAGGAGTAGGTTGGAAGAAAGTTAGGGGCAGCCAAACCAAAACATGGCATAAATCCATGAGGTCACTGACAAGTGGACTGAGTCATGTTGTTAATTGTAGACTACCTGGTTGGGGTCCGTGAGATGATAATAATTGATGGTTAGAGACCTTGAATGACAAGGCTCAAAATCGTTTGCAATGGCGTATGTGTATTTACTCTTTGTGTTCTATGAAATTCTAACCTTCTGAATTATACCTCTTGAATAACATCTTCGGACCCTAATCTCCTATTACTTCTAATACTTTTACTACCTCTGTGGTGCGCGCTACTTATAAGTAGTATATGACGCGAGTGAAAACATAATGTCTGACAGCAGAAGATGGGGGAAGATCAAGAAAGGAAGAGTGGGAACACAATGGAATTTGTATGAAACGCATGAATAGTGAAATGTCAGACAATGGATTGAAGATTTAACCGTTTACGATATGGATTTCCTATTTTACTGAGTAACTCTGTAATTTTCGTCAAATACAATTCGGTTGCCCTCACCTGTGTTCTCCTTCACTACACCTCTACCACTATGGGATTTAAATTGACAATTATATCTCTGTGCTGTACTTACGTGCATAGTTCTACGTTGCTGTTGATGAATGATGATGCATACTTTGTATTTGTGCTTGCTTTGGTTCTCATTATATCTCACTTTACACTACTATTTCATACGTTCAATGCGTCATAATAAGTATTCAAACTAAGTAACAAAAACAATGTACTGTTCATTATGTACAATACACTTTAGTAAAACTGTTTCATTGTTTTTTTGAATATTTAAATGACTAAAATATCTCTAGATATTCTTAATGTGTGTTTGAGAAAAAATTCGAACACGCTATGTTCCATTGTAGCTTCGCTTAAAATAATCAAGTTATATTTGTATCTAAATTATCTTTTTTTGTTTGAAATCACATCTAGGGAAGTCATTGGTCAAATGATCGTTACCATATTTTAATCCTAAGATCATGTGTTTATGATTCGAATTATCGATCAATTAAATCTTCAAGAATATATGCTTTAAATTTCAATCTTACTGTGTACATGTATATTCATCAATAAATATACTGAACTATTGTTTTGGGTACTATGTGATATTTTATGTAAAATTATATGCATACAATAGAACACTAATTAGATTGAGATAACTTTCATTGGTAAAATGAGTTTTATATGCAGTCAAAATTATGATTAAGGTTGAAAAGAAATATGAATTGTGTACCAGAAGGATACGGAACAAGTAAACTTTGATATGTTTGATAGAAATATCTATTTGTTAACAAATGAATGATTTCACTAAACACACAGTTCCTTTTATCATCTTGAAATGAGCAAGAACTAAGATTTGAGCAAAATAACATGAATTCATTATTTACATGTACATAATTTAAATCTAATTTGTAATGATGTTTTTAAATATTACAGGGTTATAAGCAACTAACGAAAACCAATCGAAATAAGAATGAATTCTTGGTAATACTGCTCAATTATTTGTTCATGCTCGCTTCTCAGTGAATGAATGATTATTGTCAAGTTCATTCATAATAAAATATAAGGACTAATTTGTCGTAATAATTGTGTATGGAGAGATCATATTTCGATTTGTTATAGTCTTTGTTTATCATCAACTAATTTGTCAATTATACATGATCGATCTTTCGTGAAAGCGTTTCGATACTAAAAACTTTTCAAAACGTTTAATATCTAATTACCAGTTTAATTAGTTATATTAAGGTCAGTAGAATCGATTTTAATGAATTCGGTCACAAATGCAAACTTGAAAAACAACGATTTGAATCGTCATACTCATACTTTTAGGGCAGTTCAAGTTAAAATTTCTCAGTTGTTGAAAAAGAATCATCATACGATGCGCTTTCTATCCTTATAGTGTTATTAGAATGATATAGCTCTTACTGTTGTGTCCTCTGGTATCGACCAGGTGTGAATACACTGATTGGTTCCGATTACTGTTTATACTTCTACTACCTGTACCACTATGGGATTGGAATCGACCATTGCATCTCTATGTTAGCGTGATATGGCAACATGAACTGATGTATGTATGTACGTACGAAGTTCTACGTCGCAACTGACTGACTATATTTTGTGGTCGTGTGAATCGCATATAATCGACGATGATGTCGACATCACTATATACTGACGCACTGGATCCAAATACTCGGAGGTATGGGGAATCGAACTGTATAGTTCATATCTTTGAACTAAAATGTTAACAATTCGATTAATTAACAAAGTATTGATCATATCTTTTAGTCGTAATCACCTTGTTTACAAGCCCAAATGAGATTTACACCTACATGTACCATGCAACTAGATGGTGTGAGTGATATGGTGCCAAGTTGTAATGTAGAAAGTTAATGACCAGGCATCTGACTTCAATTTAGACGAACAACTGAATATGCTATGCGGTAAACCTTCCCTTCGATTTCTGTTTACCATTATCAGACAAACTCTATTTGTGCGACAGCGGTAATAAGCCAAATACAGATTCAATTGGATGCAATTGTTCATGCAGACAGACATGAGAATACGAAGCGTAAAGGCAAAGTGAAGTGTCGAAGTCGAGTAGACCAAGTCAAAGCGGTAATCTATGACTAAGTATTTATAGTCAAACATGTAATAAGCAAAGTTAGTATGTGCACAAAAATAAAAACCACCAAGGTTATGAGCGATAATATGCAAGTTCGAATGACTTGTGAACAGAATTAGCATGTCCACAGTCTGAGAGGCGTTATGTAGGCTCAACATATTAGTACACGTACTACAGTAAACAAGAATATATTTGCTTGAATATTGTACCTTGATTATAAGATGTGTGTGCCATTGTATTCTGTAAGTTTCATACACGGGTTGTCACATTGTTACTGCTTTTTGTAGTACGTTCTTACTAGGTCCTGAAGAATCAGTGACCTATCATATTTATGGATTTACCCGTTAAGTTATTAACTGATCTTTAAATCGTATCGATTTTCAGTTTAGATATGTTGGTAGATAATGAGTTAGTCGAGAGGCTTTGGAGAGAGGTGGTTGTTGGTGAGATATATATGGAAACAAAGCATGTCCAACGCAGGATTATTTTGGGGCATGTTGATTGGCGCAAATTAGCGCTAGTGGATAGCTGAAGGTTCAAGGCCGTTCTTGTGTAGAATTTATAGATATGCTGACGTTTTTATTACTGTGGTTCGTTCTCATACAACTTGGTTTGTCAGAACATAATAACTACCTGTTCAATCTGGGTTTTGATTTTGGGGACTAGTTGAACGTCGTACGGTGTCGAAGAACACTAAGCAATAAGATAGTTGAGTTGTATAGGCGAGATCATCAACAGTGATACACTAATTTGCGTCCAGATTTAGTTTCGATGAATGAAACGGACGTTACAGAATTTCTAAATAAAAAATATTGGTAGAAAAGAGGATTCAATTAGCTTGTTTTCCAAAACTGAAGAGAATAACTATTTCACTCATCTATGATTTGCCTCAACCTACTAGAATAAGGGCATTTCGATTGTATGTACTTTTAAGTCAAATCTCATCGTTAACTCGATTTTCGGTATATATATGTTATTATACCATAAAATTGCAGTGTAGTGAATGAGAACACAGGTGGAGGCAACCGAATTGTATTTAACGAAAATTACAGAGTGACTCAGTAAAATCGGAAAACCATATCGTAAATCGTTCATTTGCAAAGGATCAGTTCATCCTATGGAACTGGACTGTTCCTGTTGCCAAACATCAATCCATTGTCACTCTTCATGCGTTTCAAACAAATTCCATTGTTTTCTGACTCTTCCTTTCTTGATCTTCCCCCCATATTATGCTACCAGACTTTACGTTGACACTCACGCTATATACTACTTATAAGTAGTTCGCACCACAGCACCACAGCAGTATTTAGTACATATTTTGGAAACCACTACAAATAATAGTTGTAAGCAAACGTGTAGAGAGCTTTTATTACTTAATTTCGAGAGTAGCTTTGGAACTGAACAGAAAAATGGCACTTTTTGTTTAACAATATATTACTACTAATTACGATAGATCAATTTTCATATTAAAAATATCAGGCAAACACGAAAACTCATGAAGAATTACATCTAATTTATTTTCAAAACCACAAAAGAATCGATGTGATGCTACAACTCACTTTAGTTAAATATTTTCTCACGTAATTAAGGACTATGTGAAAGCTGTATTTGAACTGCTCTTTAATTTTTGAAACATTTATTATCGATGAAAACATTGACAAAAAGGACGACTAAGATATTTTAACATTGAGATACTTACTCACATTTTGATAACAGGTTAATTAGTTGTAGTGTATAAATAGGTTGCCTATCTTCGTAATGATATTCATACTTTGTGGTAACCTCATTATTCCTTCTAAATATATGCAGTATTTACCTACACAAACTTGCAGTTTTATCGTGACAAAATATCTACAGCAGGTATTCAGGCTAAATATTGAGACGGAAATTAAATGTCACTCTAATCTTACTTATTAACTATTAGAACTACATGAACTGATTAGATAAATCACATATTGCAGCACTACAGATTGCCTAACCAATCTACAGAACGTTACACAGTAAAATTCATCGCACATTTCCTACACGTTTTGACGTTCACACATCTGAAACATGAATTCCCCAAGTATTCTACCTCCGAATATTTTAATAGTGCCTAGTCAAATTAGTCTGAAAACGCGATGTGATTGGTCTAGGAAGTACACCAAACGAACCTGTGTTTAGATTGTTACAAAAGCTAACTTAACTTTCTATCCATTCATCATAAAGGATACATTTTGTGTATTTTGGTCAAGATGATCGACCTGTTACGTTCTTGGAGAGTATGTATACAGCAAGAAAAGCAGACATCGAACGTTCGAAGTATGCAACAGTGAAAAAAGTCTATTCGTTCAATTTTTATAATTAATTGTCTGGACACACAACAGTGGTAGCTCATAAATTGCGCGATTTTTTTTAGCACCAGTTCAACTTACCCAGTGGAGAAAACTATGTTCGATTGACTACAGAGCAAATTAAGATTGCAAATTTCACTAGGCAACCTTATTTATTATAGAACTATTTTGCTAGTTTATTGAAGCTTGCTTTTTAATAAAAGGATGTAGTGATATTGACTTTTAAACCTGTAAATTATTATTCATATTTTATAGTTGTGGTGAAATCATAGAATTCTCAGCACAAAGTATTTTCAACACGCTTATTTTTTTACAAAAACAAAAATATATCGATAACTGCATATACGAAATCAGTATGTAAACTGTTTGGAATTAAATGAAATGGCTTCAAGATAAAAATCTAAACAATTTTTTAATTAGCAATAAAAAACAGCGAATATAATCAAGATTTGGTCATTTAACTATTATCTACTACAGTTTAAGTAGCCAGATATTTCGAGTCACGAAAAAAAAACTCAACTCATATACATAATTACTGAATCACAACATCTAGGCGTTTTCAGCATTTTGTACGTAAAAAACGGTGTAATCTTGACTAACAATACAGAAAATGTGACACAAACATTTAAGTAGAGCTATCAAATATGAATCATTTATAATAGGCGCAGAGCAGTAAATTAATGGTTGATAAAGCCAGTATATTAAAAGTTTGTCACTGTTGGCAGTTACTTCAATCGGAGCAATAAAACAGTACAACCAATCTTTGCAGTGTTGTTCAACTGAGCTTCATATAGAAAGATATAGTTATTAAGTAAAATGCACGACTCATAGACGAGATACCCGGTTGTCAACTAGAGAACGAAAAATACTGAGCAGTAGTTTTTTTTTGTTTTATTTCATGAGTGGTGAAACATGGCCTTTAAGATACAAGATTTCCATAAGTTACCATTATTTGGCCATATATGGCTTCGGAGTATTCTTGTTTGTGTTGAGAACACTGAGTGAAGCTATGTTGAGGCTAGACCGGAGCTATCAGGTAGGTATGGAAAACTAATTCATTGGGTAGCGGATCTTCGTAAACTGTGGTTCTGACATATCATTACATGACAGCAAATACCACCAACCACGATGGGAGATGTTAGCTGGAGTAGAACTGGGTTGAAGCGACTGAATCATGTGGGTGAGTGTGTTTGGAATCTGCGCGACTATGGTTGCCTAGGGTTTGAAATGTCTCAGAATTAATAACAATGGGACGGATCCATTCACTGTGTATTTCTTTAAATACTGAGTTTCAAAATTATTCCAGACCTTCTGTTTCAGCACGAGGTGAACCGCTCTTCTTGAATCCATAATGTTTATCCCTAATCTTTGTAACTACCGCTGATAATATTACTACTCTGAGATCGGTCGTGATAATTTTATCGCGATATGGTGTCTCACAGCTTGAACTGATGCTGAATACTGTGCTGAATTTTGGTTTGCATTGAATTAACTGGTTGACGGTTTTATTAAAAACATTAGTTTTATAATTAGCGTAACATGTACATTACAATTTATTTTAATCACTCTAAACAAAAAGCTTTTCTCAAGACAAGTTTTGAATTAAAGAAAGCAAAGACATTATTCCAATAATTATATCATATACTAATAAACCTGTTCACAGTTATTGGATAGAAAAAAAAAGAAGATCATCATTAAACAGTGAAATGAAAATAGTATTTCACACATATTAATTACATCAAACATTATACACAAATTTCTGAGAGAAGAAAACAAAACCCTAGACAAGCATGATTCACCGACTACTCATAAAGAATGAAAAAGTAGTTAGGCAGTTGGGTGTGTGTGTGTGTGTGTGTGTATAAACAAGCACAGGAAATTTAATCTCCAAGGAAAAAATAATTGCCACTCTTTTTCTGATCAGCATCTTTGACTGAATTCAATTTGTTGATTCTTGGTCTAGCATTGGTTGGATCACGTCGAAATGTTATATCAAGTGATTGTAAAAATTTATTCATACCAGTAACTAAATTCTGTGGTCTGTAATCAAAAAAAGAAAATTTTTTCTAATGTATAAATTGGAGTACATCATGTGATAAAGATTGTGTATTTATTGATGAAAACTTCAATGATTGAATATATGATTACTTATAAATAATATGATTTATACATACATATGGTTATTTAACCAAATTTTGAAGTTATTTTACTATGAGGTAGTTAGTTGTTGATGAACACTAAATAGACAAGGAAGCATGAAGTATCGCTAATATTTCAAGAGCTAAGATCGCTGAATACTCCAACAACCGAAATCAGTCATAATCAATGTGAAATCATGGCAGAGATGCATGATCATATTAACACAGTAAGATAAGATTGACTAGATGAATAATAAAGGATTTAAAATAATTGTAGTAGTAACATTGAAAAAGTAAGAAGAAAAGTTAAATTAGAAGAATTTTGCATTTCAAAATCTACTTTAAACAACCGACCATCTTCAGCCATAATCTCTGTTAATGAGTGGATTCGAATAAAAAAGTCTGCATCTCTTACAATGTTTTAGACTAATAGTCAATGAATTCATAGACTAATAGGATGTTTTGGTCTGATTCGCTTCTAACTTTCTTCCGACTTACTAATTCTATACTAATTAATAATGCCCATCAAGGTAAGCAATAGTATAAGTGTCGACAAAGATTTACAATCGCCAGTGTGAACTAATATCAATGAAGTCGATTAGGACTGGATTAGCAAGAAACATCTACAAAGTCACAGAAATATCCTCTTTAAGTTGAGATCAGTTTGCAAACAAATTTAAGAAATTGCATATACAACTTAAATATCTGAACATCCAAACCTATAATTTTCGGTAATCGGGCTGTAGTAGCTAATAGTCACGAACACGAAACGGTAGATGGATGGCTGGGTTTGGTAAATAATAAATTAGAAGATATTATTATGTATTCAATTTCAAAAATGAACTAATTTAATTACGCATCATTTTCTTCTGGACAAACACACATTAAATGTGGGTGAAAACTATTGTCTACAGGAAATTATTTTATGTATAACTATTAAATATTTGGTTTATGGTATTTTTATTATATTGTTCTGTTAAATGTAAACTTTCATTTTAAGTAATTGACTGGTGATATAATATGTCGTTTAATATTTCTGAATCATAGTTGATGAATTATGTGTCCAATTAGTTAGGTTTTATATCTGGTTGGGGTCTGCGAGATGATACTAACCGATGGTTAGAGACCTTGAAAGACATGGCTTAAAATCAGTTGCAATGGCGCAGGTGCATCCACATTTTATATCCCCTCAAATTGTAATCTCCTCAATTTCTCATCACCTCTATCTTTCTCGTTCTAAATTTATTTCACTGAATTATACTTCTTGAATATCTTCAAACCCTAATCTTCTGCATTACCAGTAATACTTCTACTATCTCTACCACTATTGGATTCGAACTGACAGTTGAGTGTTTGTGTTAATGTAGTATGGCAACCGGAACTCATGCATGTATTCACCAATTTCTACGTTGTAACTGACTGACTGACTGACTTAGTTACATACCATAAATGATTTAGTTGCGCAAAAATTGCAATTTCTCATTCATGGTACGTGGTGGGGTCTTATGTAACTATCTGATTGATATTATCATATAAGTCGTTGATTCATTAAATACACCATGGAGTCGACCGATTAGATTTTATTATATTTTCATTGAGAGAACTGGAGGAGCGTTACGATACTCAATGGGCATGTTGGCTAAATAAAGGTTATTAACGTTAATTTACATTTAGAGACTCGATGATTTAAATAGTATAATTAGGTGCGTATATAAATGCTAAATTCCGAACACCTGATTACAGAAATAACTTTAATGAAAAATAAACAAACACCAAACCAACCGGTAAGTAAACTTACGTTGTTGCAGTAGCTTTAACGCCAGGTTGACCATCAAACACAACAACTCGATCAGCTAAATATGTTGCCATAATAAAATCATGTTCTACAATAAAAGCTGTCTTTTTAGCATGCAGTATAAATCGTTTGATAACTTTTGCAGCATGTAAACGTTGTTCTGAATCTAAATAAGCCGATGGTTCATCAATTAAATAAACATCTGCTGGTTGACCAAGACATAACGTAATAGCCAATCGTTGTAATTCACCACCAGATAAATTCATTACCTTGAAGAAAAAAAAACAATAAATATATGAGATTAGAAGAGCTTAAGACAATTTGCACAGAACCTGAAACCTTTAGGGTCAACTTCCGACCATTGAGTTGACTAATAATAGTTTACAATTCATTTAGTTCACGATACTGAGTTACAACCATCCATTCTGATCGATAATATTTGTTTTACGACTAGTATAGTTGAACTTCGCTGGTCACAGCTTCTCACTAGAACTTTAGGAATTACTTCTTGAATTCCTTGACATAGTGATTTGGTAACATTGGCGGTTGTTGTGATTGGGATTAAGCCGTTGAATGACACTGGTCAGCTGCCATTTCTCAGTATTAGACTGTACGGCTGCCTAATATTTCTCAGTTTTCAGTGATCCTATAGATAACGTGTAGTGTACACAATATGTCGAGCCCATAGGGCTTGTTCCTTTGGGTAAATTAATTAATCCATTCTTCTCGAGTTATTCACATGCCTTTCGCTTATAGCTTAGTTATTTTTCTGTGTGTATGCTTACTTTGCTTATTGCAGGTTTAGTCTATTTTTTCCTAATTATAGCTACTTAGTCATGCTTCATTGCACTGAGTTGACTCACCCGCCTTCTGCACTTCGCTTTACTTTGCTCTTACGCTTAATATTCTCATGTCTGTCTAACTGAACGTTGCATGAAATAAATTGACCCAACTGAATCCGAATTTGGCTTTTCATTACCTCCGTCACACAACCAGGGTTCTGTATGATATAAAGAAACTGAAGGGAGGATTTATTTCATCGCATTCTCGATCATTCATCCAAATTGGAGACGGCTCAAAATCGTTTGCAATCGAACAGGTGCATTCCATTGTGTTCTCTTAAATTCTAATCTGAATCCCTCATGACCTTTATTGTTTTTAAACAGATTCTACTGGGATACACTTCTCGAATCATATCTTCGACCAAAAATCTTGATGATTGCCGCTAATACTTCTACTACATCTACTACTAGATTTGGATTGACACTGTGGTATGGCAACTTGAACTAATGTACGTACGATGTTCTACGTTGAAGTGACTGACTGATTGCTGAGGCTAGATATGTAATAAGCGAAATACGTGTGCACACACAAAAATAACCAAGTTATAAGCAAACGACTGACAAGGTCAAAAGACGTGAGGATAGTAACTCGGGCAGAAAAGGTCAATGAGCTTGTCGGATAGCTAGGACAAGCCCTGTGGGCTCAACACATGGTACACACACTACAGGATATCTAAATTGCTATAAACTCAAAGATCGGATTAAAAAATTTTTAAATGTCGATATTAGCTGGTTTAAAGCCTTATTGAATACAGTCTCTCTAACTGTCATTTTGAATGTTCAGTGTGGATTAGACTTTATTTGACGATGAATATTCAAAAAACTGTTCAGAAATTTGAGGTTAAGAAATATCAACGCAAACTCATATCACCTTAGTCACACATACACTTGAGGAACTGTTATTACAAAAATGAATGAGTAAGCATGATCGAAGATTTCCCGAATACGAGATAATAACGGATTATTTTATGCATGATTCTCTTCGTATTCTGATGCAAAATTGAGACGTGATTGGTTAGTGAACGAGGACATCTGTAATATAAATTTGTTGGGGATGTTAGATCCCCAGAACTCGCTTTATAAATATCTTTATTTTGGATTTTTTTATAAGTCTGCGCCTAAGCTGACTACGCTCTTCATCATATTCACCTGACTCTGAATATGATGAAAAGCGTAGTCAGCTTAGGCGCAGACTTATAAAAAGCCTACGTAACGACCGCGAACAGTGGTGGGTGGCGAAAGCAAAAGCGATGAAAAAGGCAGCGGCGATAGGCAACACTAGACAACTTTTCCGACTTATTAAAGAAACCGGTATTAAGAACCCGAATGTTAGTAAGACTGTCTCGGAAAAGGACGGTCTTATCATCCACTCTCAATCCAGGAGATTGGACCGATAGGCACAACACTTTAGGGATCAGTTCAACTGGTCTTCAGCCACTCTTCGGTTGCCCACGATTCCCAGTCATCCTGAATGGCAAATCGATTTAAGTCCTCCCAGTCTACATGAAGTTGAGAAAGCTATAGGAAATCTAAAGGGAGGTAGAGCAGCAGGTCCTGATAGACTGACCCCTGAGATGTTTTAAGTATGGTGGTCCAGTTTTAACAGCTAGACTGACCGAGATCTTAGGTAGAATCTGGGAACTGGACATAATCCCATCTGACTGGTCTCAGTCGCTAATTGTCCCAATTTACAAAAAAGGACAAAAGTCCTCTTGTGACAATCATATGGGAATAAGTTTAACTAATATAGCTTCTAAATTGTTAGCCTCGATTATACTTAGACGTCTAACTAGAGCACGTGAAGAGCAGACTCGAGAAAACCAGTCTGGTTTTCGACCTGGACGCGGTTGTATAGACCACATCTTCACACTACGACAGGTCTTGGAACACAGACACACAGTTAGACGTCCGACAATAGTCGTGTTCCTGGACCTAAAAGCGGCATCTGACTCAGTGGATCGTGATGTTCTGTGGCAGTGTCTGTCATTGAAAGGTGTACCAAAGAAGTATATTAACCTCATAAAAGCTCTCTACTCGAACACTACAGGTCGAGTGAGAGCATATAGCGAACTGTCATCTGAATTCTCTACATCAAGTGGTGTCCGTCAGGGATGTCCACTCTCTCCATTCTTGTTTAACTTTGTCCTAGACATCCCTCTTAGAGTTAACATTAAGCTCGTCAGATTTTTCAGGGGTTGACCTACCAGGAAAGTCACTTACTGACCTAGAATATGCCGATGACATAGTTCTATTCGGTGAAGAGGCTGACAAAATGCAGTCTTCTGACTACCATAAGCAACAATGCAAGCATGTTTGGGATGCGGTTCTCACCCTCGAAATGCAAAGTGTTGCTTCAAGACAGGGTTGCATCGGCACCTGAACTAGTGATAGGGAGTGAAGTAGTCGAACGTGTCGACCGCTTTACTTATCTGGGGAGTCTCATCAGTGCCGATAGCCTGGTGACTGACGAAATCTCAGCGCGGATACAGAAGGCTCGATTGGCTTTTGCCGACCTGCGTTATTTATGGTGTAGGCGTGATATCCGTTCGGTAACCAAAGGACGAGTGTACTGCGCAGCAGTTCGCTCCGTTCTCCTATATGGCTGTGAAACATGGCCGTTAAGAGTAGATGTTCGTAGGTTACTAGTATTCGATCATAGATGTCTCCGAAGCATTGCTCGTATACCATGGGATCACCGAGTAAGCAATGTTGTCGTTAGGAAACGAGTACTAGGTAAGGATGGCAGATCAATAGATGAAGTGGTGAAACTTCATCAGTTGAGGTGGTTGGGACATGTGTCACGTATCGCTAACCACTGACTGCCGCGACGAGATGTTTTGCAGTGTAGTAGGTTGGAAGAAAGCTAGTGGCGGCCAAACTAAAACATGGCACAAATCCATGAAGTCACTGACTAGTGGACTGAGTCATGTTGGTAGATGTAGACTACCTGGTTGGGGTCCGCTTGACGTAAGTCATCAATGGTTAGAGACCTTGAACGACATGGCTCAAAATCGTTTGCAATGTCGCAAGTGCATCCATTCGTTGAGCTCTCTTAAATCCTAATCTTCTGGATTCGTCAGCACATCTACCTTTGTCTTTCTAACCTTATCTCACTGAATTATACTTCTTGAATAATATCTTCGAACCCTAGTCTTCTTCATTACCATTAATACCTCTACTATCTTTATCACTATGGGATTTTATTTGACATTTGCGTCTCTGTGCTAATGTGATATGGCAACATGAACTTATGTACATACGTACGAAGTTCTACGTTGCAACTGGCTGACTGACTTTGGATTTATTTCATGGACCGATCAGTTGACCTTAAGATCATATTTCTCACCAGGAAAAACCTTGGCTGTGATTGGTTACTGTGTTATTTTTGTGACTGTCCCAAGGACGTCTCTATGGTGTATAAACAAACGCGATTTGTGTGCTGGTTGGGTGTTTTTAGAATACACTTTCTACGCTATATCAAGACTTCTTGCTGGTACAATTTGGTCAAGGGATCACAGTAGCCTACCTGGATGCTGGTTCATTGTTTTGTTCTCTTTAATCGACTAAGGTAAACCCGTAATAGTTTAAGCAAACCTAGAGACGAGCGTAACAAATTTACTATTTTTATACTGTAGCTCAACCCAGATTTTGCACTGTGACTGCTCTATATTTCATGTTAATAAAGTGAGTTTGATTTGATATTTGTTTCTCAAGTGTTGATCGCATACGTATATGCGTGTACTACGTGATTTAATATGATGGTCTAATTATCTAGTATATCAATCGATTGTTCAGTTTTTAATATAGTGTATTAAGGCCGATTATTTCATATTGTGATCTACTATGGCCAGTCGTATTTATTTTTCAATCTTGTGTTAGTGTATAAATCATATTGCATTGTCTATCATGCTTAAAACCAGAGGACATTCGTTTATATTTTCTTCCGTTAAAACACATTCCTACTTCATTTTCCGTGTCAATTTTACTGGTATGAAAGAAGGGATGTAAAGTAAGGAATTGTTCAATTTACTAACTTGAAACTTACAATGATGAATAATTCTTCGAAATAAATGGTTTAATAGCTAATTAAGATTTGATACACACCTCATTAATTATAATGAATTTAACTTACAGAAAGAGCACGTGCTATTTCTTGGTACGTAAATGTCCATGTAGAAAGATTCGTACATCTACTTGATAGCCTATTTGTCAGTGTAACAATCGTTCAACTCTACACATAAATATACGATTCCCATTCCATTATTACCATTATTTTCTTTAAAAGCACTATTAAATTACAATATTTAGAGGAACCGAGTACTAATGTCAGCAAATTCTACCACGTAAAGTCTTCTATTCTACTGCTTAGTCATCATTTTATTTACGCAAAAACAGTGGTACAAAGTGTCATCAAAATTTTTATGCGCTACTCTAATTATTGAATTAGTGAGTGAGCTTGATATTGCTAAGACGCCGAAACGGAATCAGATGGTTTTCTTAAGAGGCCACTCCTCACGCCTTTGGCCGAGAAGTCTAATTCACAAGGCAGTAGAGCAACGTGAGGAGATGCAGTCCCACGATATCTGGTGACCGAAAATAGGTTCGTACGCCATTCATTCCGTTAAGATCGTGGAGTCCACTGGTTTGGAATGAGCGATTTTTAACACCTTTAGGTGGATCCTCCATATCCATCACCCCAGTTAAAGAGTTGAATATTCTCTAGTCATTTCAATTTCGTAAACACCCCTACCACGCGAATGCAGTGAGTAGGATTTTCTTGACAGTGCCTATGTAAGCATGGCCATGTGAGAGAGAGGTAGAGAGGACCCTTTTCACTCTTGGTCGTATCACGGCATTTGGAAGTCATTGTGAAAAATAGAATACAATCGTATATCATGTTGAAATACAGTGTATAAAATCTAAACTTACTTGCTGATCATAGAGTCGTTCCATTTGTAATGGTTTAAGTACATCTGTCGAAAACTGAGGATGTGTAAATGAATCACGGATTTTTTCCAAAAGTAGATTTTGAACGGTTTTCTCTGATTTTGGACTAATTTTTTGTGGTTTATATGATACATGTAGAACTGGACACTTCTGATCCCCATCAGGTTTTAAATTACCAGCCAGCATACGAATAAACGTAGTTTTACCAGTACCATTTTCACCAAGCATTACAACAATTTCAGAATCAGTAAATGATCCAGCCTCTACTTTCAATTCGAATGAACCTAAACTTTTGTACATAGTTGGATAATCGTAACGAGCTGTACGTTTCAATTCTTCTTCATTACCTGTTTCAGATACCTTAAAATTTAAAAAGTTATACAGGTTATTAAAAATTTTGTTAAACGATAGAAAAATAATTCAGCGCAGCTAAATTATAATAATTTTCTGAAGTGGCATATTGTATTACTACTCGTAAGTAGTAAACTTATTATACAAAATATTTTTAAATAACTTATGCACTTGCTTACAAAAATTACTATGCATCGATTAATTTGGGATAATTTTTTATTTCTCTTTATAAGTCAAGGAAATCATAGTATAATTTTCATTGCGTGTGTGGGGTTTCAAGTTAAACCACAAAACCAAGGAATAGAAAAGATCGACATGAAACAGAAGCCTTATGACTACGTATGTTCATTTATCGACAAACAATGGATGCATCTGCACCATTGTAGGAAGTTTTGAACCATGTCATTCAGAGTCTCTAACTAATGAGGTGCATGGGCTCCACGATCTTAACGGAATGAATGGCGTACGAACCTATTTTCGGTCACCAGATATCGTGGGACTGCATCTCCTCACGTTGCTCTACTGCCTTGTGAATTAGACTTCTCGGCCAAAGGCGTGGGGAGTGCCCTCTTAAGAAAACCATCTGATTAGGTTTCGGCGTCTTAGCAATGTCAAGCTCACTCACTAATTCAATAATTAGAGTAGCGCATAAAAATTTTGATGACACTTTGTACCACTGTTTGTGCTTAAATAAATAGATAATTGTAGACAGCTACAGAATTACGTATCATGATGAGATAAATTTATCGAGAGTTAACAATACTGACTAGTTTGCACGAGTCGATTGAGTTGAACTTGAAGTACAAAATAAGTTGGTGAAGCAATCAGAGTTATGCATCAATGTTCTTAACCAGATCGACAACTGCAGAAGTATTTGACAGATAATTTAAAGAAACAACAGTTGAAGTTTGACTGTACTTCAGATATATCATCAAGTAAGATATCTAAAAAAGAAAACATACCTTGAAAACAAGTGGTGTTTCTCGAAAACGCAAATTTTCCGTAGGGACCACACCATCCAAAAATATATTAATTCCTTCACGGACAGAAAAAGGCATAGTGACCACTCCATAAGCACCTGGGACACCGTAAAGACAGCATATGAAATCAGACAAGTAATCCAAAACAGATAAATCGTGTTCCACAACAATAACATAATTTGTACCCTTTCGAAAATAAAATTCAAAAACATGTAATATATTTACAAACCTCGAGCAGTTCACGTATAGCTATAGCTGTTTTTAAACGTTGCTTGACATCCAAATAAGAACTAGGCTCATCAAACATATATATATCGGCTTTTTGAACACAGACCATTCCACAAGCAAATCTTTGAAGTTCGCCACCAGATAAATCGCCTACCATGCGTTCAGTGACTACTTGAAGATCTAGTTTTTATAAAATACTACATTAGTCATCCGAAAGTGACTTCTCTTACCAAGCATTTCTAAGACGTGATCTTGGTTACCTCTGTCATCCTTTCGATTAAGTAAGGTTTTAACTTCACCAGATACTATTTTAGGGATTTGATCAACATATTGTGGCTTGATGACAGCTTTCAAATTGTCCTCCAAGATTTTCGTGAAATAATTCTGTAGTTCTGAACCACGGAAATATGTTAATATTTCAGTCCAATCCGGTGGATTCTGAAGGGGAAGAATAAAAGACATGCATATCATATTCAAGTAAACAATGCATACCAATAAGTCTTATAGCTTTCCATACTATTAACAAGTGATAGATGTATATATTAATAAATTTAATAGAGTTCCCCAAATGTTAGCGTTACGAACTAATATGTAACAAACATTAGGGGGGAATTCCTTACTACCCGAGCATTGATGGTGTAATAAATGGTAAACTAAATGACGTTAAACTTAGCGACAATAGAGTCGGTTGCTGTTACATACGTTCATAGGAAGTGTAACAAAATGAATCGTTATAGTGGGTCAGTTCGGTGATATGGATGAACAGGAAACATGGATGTTGCACTGGAAATTTTGAAAACAATTAACACGCTCAACATTTAATTATGTCGATTTAAAATATCAGTTTTGGATATTTAATGTACTATAGAGAAATATTTTGATATCTTTTAAACTACTGGGATCAACGATGACCGTAGATAATGTCTTGAGTTGATTTGAAAACATATTTTTTCTCAACAAATCGTTACTGTAAGAATGCGCCAATAAAGCTTTCTAACGCAGTTGCTTATGAAGTAAACACACTTAGCTGACCAGCGTAACATCTGGATGTAATTACACAACCGTTCATCAACAAACCTCTTAACGAAAACCCATTGGTCAGGTGGTCATTCAAATGTGAATCCGTGAGGACATATACGCAATCATCGAGACGCATAGCAACATTCCATATAGCAAACCTATAGTGGTATGATACTGTAGTCCGAATAAACACACACACATATAGACAATTGCTCAGTCGACTCATCCCTAACCGCCGACTGCCTCGACGAGCTATGTTTTGTGGTGTAGAAGTGAGTTGGAAGAAAGCTAGGGGTAGCCAAACCAAGACGGCATTGCTGGTTCATTTCGGAAAGTATGAACCAGAGAGCTTCATACGCATTACACCTTGCAGGCTAGCTAATGAGGTTTGGCTTAAAACTTCACTCGATGGGGTGACATAAATCAGGTATGGAAACGTTTCTGGGAAAACTGAGTTATTTTCTTAGCAATTAATTGAACCCTAACTCTACTGCTTTAGTCGCTTTATTTACTTACTTAGACAGGCTAAGACTGAAAACTAGAGTATAAATTAATAATAGCACAAAAACTAGCAATGATAGACTGTAAGATGCAGTAACGAACCTTGAACCGACCAAGATTAGGTTTAAGCTTGCCGGCAAGTATTTTTAGAGCGCTGGACTTTCCAATACCATTAGTTCCAACCAGCCCCAAAACTTCACCAGGTCGCGGCATTGGCAGGCGATGTAACTTAAATGAGTTCGGACCATAACGATGAGTAACCTCTTTCTCCAGGTTGCTAGGAAGATTTATGATAGAAATTGCTTCGAAGGGGCATTTCTTGCTACATATACCGCACCCGATGCATAACTCTTCCGACAAAAATGCGATCTTGTCACTTGGTGTAACCTCAATGCATAGTTTACCTTCTGGGATTACACTACTAAAACAATTATTTACCCATCCGCACCACAGGACATGATCTTTTACACTCTTGACGACACTTTTTCGGTTTGCATTTGTCACTGCTAACGATGGCGATGCGCGTTAGCTTTTCTTGAGTTGGAGGCTGTGTCATGCTTACCTAGGGCGTTCACACGCCCTTGAAGTATCTCAACAATCTAAGCTCCGGGGTTTCAACGATCAATATTTCGTCACCAGCTTGAATTGGCCAGTTGATTTCATTGCTTTCACTTTCATTGTTTCCGTTCGTTCCAAGGCCAGATGATAAACAGTCTAGCCACTCGGCTATATTGGTTTCAGTTTGTTTGCTTGTTGCTTATGGGTTTTAATTATCCTGTAATCTTAGTGCGTATGTATTACAGCAGCAGGGTTTCTTCAACCGAGTTTTCACGTGACCAGGAGGGAGATCGATTGTTTGCATTGTGAAAAATTAAAAAACAAAAAGTTCATCCGCGGAAAAGTTAGGCGAAGAAAACTGACTGAAGAAACCAATCAATCGGGAAATCATGCGAAAGAAGTTCAGTGGATGGAATGAATCGTCTATAATAGTTTATTAGCCTCAGAAGTTGTAGTCAATTTCTTGGTGATTCGGGCAACTGATAAGTATGAATAGTTGCAAATACTGCCGGAACTGGCGTGATATCTTCAGAATTCACTACGTGACAGGGGAATCTCAGTGATTCCTTTCCATATTCACACATCTTGATGTTACTGGCAATACCATGTTATTGTTGTTCCCTTAGCAGCTCCCTTAGTTCGTGTAGACATTTTTCTGCCGTAGCGCTAGCTGCTAGTATGTCGTCAATATATACATATATCCCTGACAAACTTTTAACGACTTGATGTATTGCTTGGAAGGTTAGAGCTGCGTCAGTTAATCCGAAGGAAAGCGACAAGAAAAATTCGATGGCATATGACAGCGGTTACTCCAGGTTAGGTACGAGACCTAAATCAGTAAACTTGGTTCAAAGGAAGGTTGGCAATCTACGGGTGAGTACGTGTGTGTCAGTCCACATCTTGAAGCTTTTCTTTGAACGAACATTGGTCACCTCGGCTGAAAAGCGTTCTAGACTAAGGTAGCTGTCGATGAATAAGTTAGCATAGTCCCTGAGGTTTTTCTAAGAGATTTGTAAGAAAATCTGTTTCATAAACAACTTCGTCTTCATGTCATTGTCCGATGAAAATCATATGTAATTTAAAGGATGTAACATTCGAGGTGAGGCACTGATTAGTTTCCAAAGCCTTTTAAAAACAGTTCTGAGCTGATAGCACCAAGTTGTGATATGAGCAGTATGGTATGAGTGTTTAATCTCAACCACTTCACGATTTCGCACAACCACGTTTCTAATTTACGTGATTTAATGTTTATTGCTACGAAGTCCCTTATTTCTTCTTTGTTCATGCAGTTTCTCTATAGCTGCAGGTGTTTGCAAGATTGAGAACGTTGTACGGTTTACAGGGATTTAATTAGTTTGGAGGTAGCTGGCTGGTACGAGTTCGAAGACCGTTTGACAAGAGGTCTCTGAGACTCTAAGAAAATTTCCTTTTTCATCCATTCACAATACGTTAATTAGCTACCTTTAGTAATGTACCAGTTAATGGAGTTAAATTCATACTAATAAAAAGACTATGTACTGTGCCATCATGGATGATCTGTGTCGATGACTACTGGCCTACTGGAGTTGGACGCAAATGGCGCTACCTGACCTACCTCAAAGTTACACCTTGTCATCATTGTTTAATCTGAATTATGCTATCGTAATAGTCAGATAACTGACTGGAAAAAATACATCCAATAGGTAACAGCGTATATTTATATTGATACTTGACAGAAGTAGAAGGTAGAACAGATTTCTGCAGACCCTGTCCGTGCCAAGCGATTAACGGATGTCCATCGGTTGTCAATGACCTTCGTAGGGTATTACACTGATTTAGTAGAATTTATCTATTGTGTCCGGTGCACTTTGCTTCTTGAAAGCAAACCCTCTAAGTTTTTAATCAGTTAATACATACTTGTCGTTTGATAACGTTTTTAACTTCTGAATACACTAGTTTAAGCCTACTTATTGACTGACAGTGACTCTTACACTTCATAACTGAACCTCTTATCTTTAAAATCCGCCATTGATTTTTAGTATTAACACAGTTAATACACAATAAGTTATACCCTTAGATATTTGAGTTACTTAGACAAGCAATTATCCTACTCAATTTTCCATTATGACAAATAATTTGAGTAAAAGAGAAATGTCTCCAACTTTTAAACCACCCAAAAGATCAAAATCTGCAAACCCTATGCCAGATGAATCTTCACTATGTATTCCAATAGTGAAACTCGTAGATATAAGGGATAATATACTCAAGTATACCGAAACTTCTACACAGAATAAACTTCAGCATAATCTTGTGAAGCCATTTTCTGGAAGTTCACAAACCAAGTAGTTGAATGCTCCATCCGAAACCGTTAATAGTAGTAATAACCATGGCAGCGAGATACGACAGTTACAAAACTCACTTGCCCAAATTAACGATAAGCTTAACCTGTTAGCACCCCTCATGCTTTTATGGGCCCTGAATAATGATAGGAAATTCGAAGAATTAGCCAAAGCGGAATATATCCTAGATTTTGTAGCTGAGGAAGTTACGAAAAGAATAATGTCTTCTTGCAATGCGATTGCATTTAACCTCCCCGACCACACATCCTTGACTTCGCTAAAGGATACCTGTCTAAAAGCGTGTGATATGGCAAACGTCAGCTGTCACGTCACTCGCCTCAGAAAAAAATCGGACAAATCAACTTGCCCTCTCCTTTTCAAATTCGGCTGCTGCAACGACGCCAAACAGTTTATCCGTTTGAGCAAAAATATTAGCTCTTCAACCTTATACAAAGAAATAAAGGTTATCCCAGATCTAACGCCTTGTCAGCGTCGTGTAAAAACAAGAGAGGCGACTAGATCACATAACGGTGTTACAGCAGGCAATCTATAGAAAATAACCCTCAATGTCATGAAAGTAAATAAACAAATAAACCACGATGTAGATCTTGATGAGTCTGTGGACTGTAAACCTTCTAACAAAGTACGGATCCCCTCTGTCACCAAGAAATCGAACAACCCTTGCATTCGTAATCCCAGTTGTTCGAACGTTAACTTGACTGGATATGTCGCAAAAAACAACACAGTTCCAGCTAAAACTAATAAAATTAAGAATCCATCCCCAAAATATATTGCACTAGAGAAAACGATAGAAACTGACGTGTTTTGGAAAAGCACGTCCAGGGGACCAAAACATTCTCCGTCCTTAACTAAGAAGAGTGAACTGATTAAATGTTGGGTCTCAAGTAAAAAAATAGGTAGGATTCAAGCCCAATTGCCACCGACTTTACCAGCTACGATGAACAGGTTCACTCCTTTAATGTCATGTGATGTGCCCCTAGCGTCTCCAAGTTGTAAGACTGATAATATGAAGAACATGTCAGACCAACATCTGATCATGCGCACAAATAATTATTATCCAAGAGCTAGGTACACCGCCCTACCACCTAATCCTAGAATTATTAGTGAAAGTGGAAATGGGAGATTTTTCACCCCTCACCCTATCCCAAATACCCGGGCTTTTATTCGCAAAAACGCTGAGAATGAAAACTCTATGCATCCTGCTCTACCAAGCCAGCTGGTAAACATAACCCCCAAATTTAGAAAAGGTCATAACAACTGGCACTCGTATATGGCAAACCCTCCCCAAGTTAAAACCATTCCGTATAAATTTAACCTTAGTAACGAGCTGTGTCATCAAGGCATTACTAGAAACGTTGGTGAACTGCAATGCCAGCCGAATCAAAATTTTTTCGGGGTACAGCCACTTGTGGTATCTCTTGCGCGACATATCGCTCAAGTCATTTCATACCACATACAGAATATAAGAGCACTCTCCTCGCACAATCTCAAACAGACAACATTCTCCCCCTTTCCCCAGGGCTAACAACCCCTCCCGTAAATTTCAGTAATTTACTTAACATGTCCCCCCCTAACTTCTCATACCACACTCACGTAGGTCATAGTAACTCTTTTACTCAAGATACCCTAAACTATTTTAGATCAGCGGGACATCTGTTTAATATATGTCTTATTAATGCTCGTTCAATCTGTAATAAAAAGACAGATCTAGTCATGTTTGCTACTATCTGCCAACCATCACTTATTATGATAACTGAGGCATGGACCTGTAGTAATATTTCTGATCTTACTATATCTCTTGAAAACTAGGATCTGTTCCGAAGTGACAGGTTACAAGGAAGTGGTGAAGGATGTCTCATACATACCCACTCTAGCCTAAACCCAATCCCATGTGATGTGTCGGAACTAAACAAATTACAAAATTCTGTGTAGATCGTTCTGAAACCGTCAAATGCACTCTCCTTAATGTTCGGCTGTGTCTACCGTCAGCCTAAAGCACCAATAGGAGATCTAGCATTATTGTCAGAAGTATTCACGCTTGCTTCATCCCTACAGTTTACAGGCAAGGCCATTTGTTGGGACTTCAAAATGCCTGAAATCTCTTGGTTCCCAATCAAAGCACTTGAACTATTCGAATCATTTATCGAGTGCTTGAAGCTTGGACCGTGGACTCAACATATTAACGGCCCAACCAGAAATCAAAATTCATTGGATTTAATTTTCACCTGCAATCTCATTCCTCATACTGTATATGTTGGTAAAAAGTTACCGGGTAGCGATCATAATATGGTCATATGCAGCGTTGATATAGGAGCTACAACTACAAAATGTAAATCCACTACACTTCGTAGGGACTTCCGTGGAATTGATTGGACAAACTTCTGGAATTGCCTCTGATGCATTGACTGGACTAACTACTTTACCTCAAACAAAAACGAGGAACTAATAAATGCATTTTATTTCAACGGAAATAATGTTGTCAATAAATTTGCATCCTTAGGATCCTGGAGACCCGGAATTCCTAAGGACTTATTTATGCCAGGTCATATACGAAAACGTCTTCGAAGACATGCTTCCAGATTTCATAACTGTAATGACTTCTCCTCATTAGTAACGATGACTCAAATATGTGTCGAGGCAGAAATAACACGTACTAAAAAGGCAGTCGCACAGGAAAAGAGTGCTGTTCAGCTGAACAATCAATCCTCTGAACTCATAAAACTCCTTCGGAATAAACTCAAATGCTCCAAAGTGAAAGGAGGGAGCA